GATTTATGTAAAGGATTAGAAACCAATTCAAGCAGGGTATATGAATTACGAATACGAAAAGACTATGTGGAAAATATATGTTTACATATTATACGATGTATAGATTATTTGTACGTTAGCGTATTATACAGAAATAAAAAACTGTTCAATATGTACAAATCGCATAGCTTGCTTTGTGGAACAATACAAAGATTTTTCACAGAACATTGTGAACAATCGAAATTCACCGATGAAGAAATAACTATCAGTTGCAATATCCAAAAGTTACATGTTTTTTTAAGTAAAATTATATATTTTGAAAAAATTACTGAAGAAGAATCCCTTCAGTACCAAGAAAACACGGTATACCAAAGTAATGCTACAAAATTTGTGTTATCTGAATACGAACTCATGAGTGATATTGATTGGACGTCAACATTTAGTATTGCTAGTGCCACATACGATATTTTTAACCAAACGCCATCACAGGATGTTCTAAATAAAACAATAGTACGTCAACAACTATTGGTTCAATATGATACTATAAAATTAGAAAAAGTGTTAAAAAAATACAGTATACTTTATACTATTGACATAAGTAAAACTGAATGTGCACCTGTGCCAATTACTGATCAGCATGAAACATATATTGTGGTAGGTCATTTAATAATCTATACGCTCCAAAGGCTTGAACAGCATTTAACATTTATACTTAAAAACTCTAATACAACCATATCCAAATTAAACAAGGACCAAATCGATCAAAATGTGTTGAGTCCATTTAAAAAGTTATGTGATTATGTTCCGGAAATTCTTCTGTATTTGTTCGAACATGACCCAAATTGTTTGATTGATACAACTTTATTTAGTTTGTATTTGTCCCTTTGCGGAAATAATATGGATTTTATCGATTTCCGTTGTCCCGCTGAATACGAAGGTGAGTTGGAGAACAAACCGTTATATCAATATAAATGTACTACGGAAGCAATAAGAGATAAATTGCTGTGGAATTTTTATAGCCGAACTGGAGCACTTTTAAAAGAAGATGAATATACGACAAATTCAATTATTAATACTGATTGTTCAGAGTTAAATTACAAATATATTAAGGAAATTTCTACTACCCTTACTGATTTCTACAATAAAAAAAATACCGAAATCATAATATGGACCACGTATGATTGGTTAAGTTTAAAATTATTACTCACCGAGGTGTATACAGATAATATCGACATAAGCAGCATAAAAAACAATAAGATAAATATAGAAAGTATACCATTCACATTGACAGAGATATACTATTTTTTTTTACCGTTAAATACAAACATAAAAACATTTCTAACTTTCCACAATATCGTTTTATGCAATTATCTGGACGAAAAACTAAATATGTATATTTATCGTCATGCAATAACGATTGTTATGTTTTTTGACAAATCGGTCTACGGAAAGGAAAAAAAAAGAAACATACCAAAGTTAAGAAACTCTCTTGCATGGTACGAAAAATGCCGGTATAAATTATTTTTAAATTTACCAGACGAATGTAAAACTCGAGAAAATTTATTAAATATAATCACCGCTATTCAAAATTTCAAACAAGCCGATGGTCCTAATATTCTTAACAACATACCAGGTCCTACATACGATAAAATATATAATGCACTCAAAATAGAATTATTTTCTACAATATGGGCCGAAAGTTTTAGTGAAACTTTGAAAAAAAATTGTTTGGCAGCTGTAGATTTTGTACACAA